ACAATAGCTTTCTAGACATGCAATATATGTATTGAGTTCAAATTGATCATGTTCATCGCACAGTTAAGCAAAGATATATAACTTCTTGTTATTGAAATCCCAGACGTGGGGTTTTAACTGTAACAATATTTTCAAAAGTGTAACACGTAGAAACGCTCTTACAACATTAGCATACAATGGTCTCTTCCATTTAGATTGTCATTATTTTTGAAGAAAATTAGTGAGAGCTCCGACAAGAGCATTCATGGTAGCTAGTTACTGCTCATGATTCCTGTTAAAATTATCAACAGAGGTGCTCATTTCACCTCGTTGTGCTTCCAGCCCTGAGAGAGCATTTTTAAAGAACTTCCGTTCCTCGTCCTACTTGTCGTCTTCCCTTGCCCTTTTCTTCGTTTTCTTCCTTGCAGTTCTTTGTTCGGTGTTGTCTGTGTAGACAAGATCTTCAGCGGAGGCCGCATCCTCTCCAGCCTGATTACTGCTCCCTGCTTTGCCAACACGATTTAAAGTTACGGCGTCTCGACAAACAAGATTTTCATCGATTTCGTTGTAGTGCACCGACCGCTTGAGATTGCCCCCCGTTTGTTTTGAATTCCAATCTTCGGCGCCTTTGTACCGTTCGATCCAGTACTTCATTTCCTTCTGGACTTTATTGCTGGTCCTCTTCGAGCCAAATTTCGAGTTCAGTGCTCGCGTGATTTCATCCCAGACCTTTAGTGCTTCTCTGCTCTCCAGGCGATCGAAATTATCAGCCCAAAGACAAATTAGCATTTTCTGGTCATCGTGGGGCCATTTATCGTACACAGTTTTCTTTGCTGGTTCGGACTCAGGAGAAGATGCTGAAGATGTACTTGCAACAGCAACGGAACTCGTCGGGGAGCTCGTTGTATCGAACAATGCGCTCCCTGGCCTGTTTTGACTGCCTTCACCCACGTTTAACTGCGAATGCAGTTCATTCATAAAGGGGCCAAACTGCTGCTGTTCCCGCTGCTGCTGCTGCTGCTGATCGAAGAAGTAACCGGGATAAAAGGGTGTTGAACCGAGAAAAAAGCCACGTCCATCCATGATCGCAAAGTGTTCTAGCGAAGTTCCCGCGCTTTGTGATTGCGTTTTATTATATTCGTTTCCGAGCGAAGCTCCCGCGCTTTGTGATTGCGTGCAGATCATGACCTTTAATGTCATTTCCCTGACAAGTTCTGTTATCACTGGAGACGGCTTCCTTTGTTAAGACAAAATTTTGGAAAATCGGTCAGCCCCAC